TCGCACCCCAGGCTTTGCCTCTCTCCCTCCACCCGCCCCTTCTTCCCTTCGCCCTCCTCCGCAATCTGATCTTTTCGGGCCCCTCGCGTTCCCGTAGCCGCCCAATATGGTGTCTTCCTTTGGAGGCTCTTTCCGTACAACAAGATGCCGGCGCCGGAGAGGAACTTTCCGTACGGGAAGGCGGCGCCCGCTCTTGCTCAAACCAGGCAAAGTCAAGTTTCTGAGGTTGTGGCTGGAGGGACGCAGGTGGGTGCGGTCCGACTACAACTCCCAGAAATCCGTAGGCATTTCCCCACCCCTACGGGGATTATGGGATTTGTAGTCCTACCTTCCCGATCTCGGCACGTCTAGTTGCAACAGCTCCTGTACATTGCATGTACTACTTACTCAGATCCCGCTGATTTAGGTGTGATTTTTCACTCCTGAGCAGCCGTTGCAACACATGCACAACTCTTTTCACGGACTTTTGCCTGGGAATTTCAGAACAGCTAATTAAGTCACTTAATGGATAGTTCAGGGGTTTGGAGTTCAATTCCCCACCGTGCCTCTTTGACAGGGGCTGGAATGGATGATCCAGAGGGTCCTTTCCAGTTTTGCATTTCTAAGATTATTATTTTTTCTTTAAGGACAAATTGCAAAATCTCTCTACTGCCATCTCGGGGAATTCTGGGTTTTGTAATGAAAAGACATGCATGCATGCATATACGCATACTCTGACAGGTGGTGCAGGATTCAAAATTGTAGTTGCCATATTCTAAAGCCCCTCCCCATCACTTCCTTTGAATAAACTGCACTGAGATCCGCCTGTTTCCTTGGAAGTCATTCCCGCTGCGTTCAACAAAGCTTACTCCATTGGAAGTCTGCAGCCCTTTTTCCAACAATCCAGGAGTGGCTATGTTCTAAAGTTCACCTTGAAAACATGACTTTGTACTTCAGTCTATCATTCCTCAAAGACTACAGCTCCCAACTTGGAAGATCCTGAAAACCACCGTCTAAAACTACAACTTTCTCAAAACTCTGTTTCAAAAATATTCGCACCCTCTAATTCCTACCATGCATGTTGGGGGGGGGTCTACTCTGGATCTTACTCTGAAATATATGGGAGCCATCTACTGTATTGGGCCCATGGCCTCAAATCAGTTCAGCACCATGGACACCTCCATCCCAGTTTGCCCTTAGAAATAGAGTAGATTGACTACACACACAAATGGAATTCACAAAATCCCAATGGCCTTCCCGTTCCTTTTGCTTGGAGTGCAGAGCTATGCATGCAACACAGACAGTCCTACACCCCCTAAACTAGCCCACTGCCCTCAAGGGTATCCAAGGCCCCTAACCCATTGAAGGAAGATTCAACGGCTGGTCCAGTTGGCTTCCGTAGAGAACGGAAGAGTGATCAACATCCTTTGCCTCAGTCAGCAGATTGTCATGGTCACACCCCAGGCAATAAAACTCAAGTGTTGCCTGTAGAGGGTCCGAAAATCCGAATGTCTGGCATCTTGAGCAAAAGACACCCAAGATGCCGCAACTAAAACCGTCCCAAATTCTGAGCTATATGAACTAATGACTCAATGTGGAACAAGGGAGGTTTCTGTTATTGTTGTTTCTGTATTAATGTTTACTTGTTTTATGTTAATTATGTAAGTCTTCCCTAGATTAGGTATAGAACCATAGCAGGGAAGGGAGTCATAAAGATAGTCTGCACCAGCATATCATCCTGAGAACACCTGATTTTGTCCCGATTTCAGGCTCCATTGATAATTGGATGGGAGAAAAAAAAAACCTCAAGAAAACATCAGGCACTTCCAGCAGGACAGAACTGCTCAATAGCTCAGTGGTTTAGGGATTTGGCTGTGGAGCCAGAGGTTGGAAGTTCAATTCCCCACAATGTCACCTTGATTGGAGCTGGACTCTGTGATCCACAGGGTCCTTTCCAGATCAGCAGTTCTAAGATTATAGATTAAGGAGCCACTTCCATACAGAGTTCACCCATGTTTGCTCAATCAACCTGGACCATTTGCTCTTGGTCCATTTGACTGGTCTAGACAGACCAGAGTTTTAGACCAGTTCATAGTCATTTGCCTTGTCAACTCTGTCAAATGTAAAAATGATGCAACCGTGCCTTGCTTAAATTTTGCTTTCCCTTCTGAAACATCTCTCCTACAAAACAGCTACCTGCCCCTCCCACTCTTCATTGTCCATGATGTTAAGAATAGTGACACTGAAGGAGCCCAAAAGAGCGAGCCTTCAAAGGAGTGGGGTTGGCCCCATTCCTTTGAAGCAAACTTCCAACAGAGGTTTGACAGGTTCCTTCACGTTTTGATGAACTGGGTGAAAAACAGAGCTTTTAAAAAGTGACTTTTATTAATGTTGGCTTGAGATTCTAAGTTGGTTAACTGTCCATTTTTATGTAAAGTTGGGTTTGCTTGTGGCCAGGAACCTATTATTTGTTGAAATAAATTGTCTGTTTGTATTGGGACAGATATTAAATTTACTGTTGTAAACTGCCCAGAGAGTGCCATGGGGTGGTATACAAATGTAATTAATTGATTGATTGATTGATTGATTGATTGATTGATTGATTGATTGATTGATTGATTGATTGATTGATTGATTGATTGATTGATTGATTGATTGATTGATTGATTGATTGATGTAAACTGTCCAGAGAGTGCCATGGGGTGGCATACAAATGTAATTAATTAAGTAATCAATCAATCAATCAATCAATCAATCAATCAATCAATCAATCAATCAATCAATCAATCAATCAATCAATCAATCAATCAATCAATCAATCAATCAATCAATCAAATAAGAACACCCATTCACTTCATACAAACGTTTCAATTGTTTTGCTTTCCAGACAAATTGATTGATCAATCAATCAATCAATCACTCAAATAAGAAACGTTTCAATAGAAACGTTTCAATTGTTTTGCTTTCCAGACATTTTGTTCTCCTAAACAAAAAAAATATATATCTGAAATCTGTTCCTTCAAAGTTTCCACTCTTATGCTCTAGTCCTGCCCTCTGAAGCATAAGAGAACAAGTATGCTCCATGCTAGACCTTGTCTGATCCATGAAGGTACAGTACTCGTTATTCTCTTCAGAATACTGCAGGTTCATGACCACAGAACACAGATGAATGGTACATAGATTAATGATAGCCACCATTATTCATCACCCTGGCAACTTGGTACCTTTTAAATGTTTCAAACTATAAGTCCCAACAATCTACGTATTTGGCTGAAGGTATATGGAAGCTGAAGATCAACGCATGTGGGCAACAGTGTCAAGAAACTGCCTTGAGCTTCAGCGAGAACAAGAACAGCAGTCACAAGCCGAGCTGATCAGATTCTTCAACAGGTGAGGTAGCGTTAATGAAAAGTTCACCTCACCGAGCAACTCTTGAGTTGCAAACTTAGGGAGTGGCATTCTTCACACTCTAAGATCCACTGTGGGGGCAGGCTGGTTTGTTCCCTTTTCTGCCAGTCGGTACCAGTATGAACCAGCCCATCCCCATCATGGTTTATTGTTATTTTTAGTTATGGGTTTTGTTTTCAACACACGCAATCTGTGAGATTGATCCAGTGTTAAATCTTCCTCCTGCTTTCAAATTCCCAATATTCTTAAGTGGCTAAGAAGACAGTTTAGCCACTTCACAATATGGGGAAATTGAATGCTTCCTCTGGTTCTCCATGGAGGAGCAAAGGAAGGAAAGAAACTTCTTTAAAAAAAAAGTCTATTAAAAGAGTTCTTGGGAGGGGGGGATGAGCGGAGGGGACAAGGAGGGTTTTTTTCATTTTCAATTTTTAAATGGAAAGCCAGCCAAATGGGGTTATTTGAAGTGGATATATCATGCGGATGCAAGGATGGTACCAAATGGCACACTAGACCTCTAATTGACCTTAATTAACTCTAATTAGCCCAAACCAGCCTGCTCCAATTGAGCTGTCTAGCCAAGCCCTTAGAAATATGTAGCAAACCACTGGTAACAAGTTTAAAAGAACATGAATACGTTACATAACACTGGTCTTCCGTCATCACAACATTATCTTTAGTTTATAGCTCTCAACCATCTTTGCCCTCTTTTTCAAATGAAAGGTGTTGGACTCTGCCCAAATGGGAGTCTGAATGATGTTCATTAAGGTAGACGCCTTTTCTTCCTCTAGCATACCACCTTCATTTTGACCTTTTAGAAGTTGTTTCATGGGCAAATATCCAGCGGAGGCAGATTTTCGGCTCACCCTATTTCCATACTAGAGGGAACGCAGCACCAGTTGGCTTTCTGCCTATTAAATAATAATTTGCATGTGCCGGCAAGTCAGTTCTGATTTATGGAGACCCCTTTCAGCGTTTTTGAGATAGAGAATAATGAGAAGTGATTTGCCATTCCCTCCATCTGGGGGCACCCTGAAACTGTGCACCCCACCCAAGGTTACGCAGGCTGGCTCTTCTGCCAGGAGGCACACTGGGGAATTGAACTCCCAAACCTAAACCACTGACCTATCCAGTCAGCCTATTAAAAGTATACAGAAAAACTCCCTGCTTGAAGCATGGGTCCGCTTGTTTTTCTTCTCAAATCCAAGAGGTGGTGCTATTGTGCCAGTCAGCTGAACAAAAATACCCTTGTGGCCATCTTTTGCAGGTTTCTTTGTCCAATACAGAACCAGGGGTTTGGGGGCAAATGGCCAAAACCCAAGAAAGAAAGCCAGCTATTTTGTTTGCTCCCATATCGTTTTCAGGGTTCACGGGGACATGCAGATGATTTTTGTTTCCCAGAATAAAGTCAGCTTCTGGAAAACAATGCGATCTTCA